ATATACATATACATATACATATACATATATATATATAGATAGATAGATAGATATAGATATCCTATTAAAAATAAAACTGATAGCCCAGCCAGTGTGGCTCCATGGTTGAGCATCGACCTATGAACCAGGAGGTCACAGTTGGATACCTGGTCAAAGGCACATGCTTGGGTTACAGGCTCGATCCCCAATGGGGGCGTGCAGGAAGCAGCTGATCCATGATTCTCTCTCATCATTGATGTTTCTCTCTCTCCCTCTCCCTTCCTCTCTGAAATCAATAAATATATGCTTTATAAAAATTTTTTTAAAAAAGAACTGATAGCTAAGTACTGAAGCCAGGTCACTTCCTACCTCCCTGATCTTGGTACTCATTGTCAGGTCTGTCTCCCAGTCCCTACTCTCTCTCCTGCTCCCGCCTCTACCCCCACAATCAACCTGGTCGGTTCCTATTCACCTGCAGTACTCAGCTGAGTCATTGAACCACTCCTTTGTCATTTAATCACTCCTTCCTCTGTGCTGCAGTGCCCACACAACTGTTATTGTGTGTCCTCCCCACGAGATTGCAGGCTCCACTGGCCCCAGCACAATGTCTGGAACATGCTCATTACTCAATTAATGGTTGCTGAATGAAATCATGAAAATAAAAAAACTATACTCCAACTACAAATCATATTAACAGATTATACTCATATGGAAGTGTTAGTTCCCTAAATTGTGAACATAATGCCTTCCCCCTCCCCATTTATGTCTGGGTTTTGGCAGGCAAGAAAACAGTATCTGGAAAGATCAGAGCTTTGTGTTTTTGATGCAATTCGCTTGAGTCATGAAACTGGTGTCTGCGAAGTATCCAAAGTCAATAATCAGAGTCAACATTAACGACATGAAAAGAAACACACCACATACCCAGCAAAATCTTTTACATGTTTATGAGGACAGAATACAATATAATTGCTCACTGGTTTTAACTCGGCTCAGCTCAGCTCAAAATCATATCATATTTAACAGCCTACTTGATAAAACAAAGCACAGGGTGGAGAAGCTATAATCCAAAATCTGTTGTTAATCCCTCTAAGTCCACGAGTTGGTACCAAACACATTTACTCTGCCTTGCAGGAGGGCAGGGCTCTTAGCTGCCTGCTGAGGAGACTGTGCTTGCCAGGTCACAGCACCTGCCCTGAGCTTCCATACAAACACTCCTGCCCTCCCAGGGAACACGTAAGTAACAAAAAAGCCAGTCAAATCGTGACAAGCACCACAAAACAGAGGCATAAAAAGATGGCATAGCCCAGCTGGCATGGCTCAGTGGTTGAGAGTCAACCTAGGAACCAGGAGGTCACGGTTGACTCCCAGTCAGGGCACATGCCCAGGTTGCGGGCTTGATCCCCAGAGGGGGGCGTGCAGGAGGCAGCCAATCAATGATTATCTCTCATCATTGGCCTTTCAATCTCTCTCTCCCTCTCCCTTCCTCTCTGAAATCAATAAAAATCTATATTTTAAAAAATGGGCAAAATATTTGAACAGATACTTTGGCATAGCCCAGCCAGAGTGTCTCCTTTGTTGAGAATCGTCCCCTGCACTGAAGAGTTGCTGGTTCCATTCCGGGTCAGGGCACAAGCCTGATTTTCAGGTTTGAGCCCCTGTCAGGGCAAATGCTGAAGGCAACTTATTGGTTTCTTGCTCGCTCTCACTCTCTGTGTCTCTTTCTCTCTCTGTCTTTTTCTGTCTTTTTCTCTTCCTCCCTCCCTCCCTCCCTTCCTCTAAGCATGTTCTTGGGGGAGGATTAAAACTGTAAAACATTTGAAAAGGTGCCATAGTGAAGAAGAGAATGAATAATTTTTCAACTGAAAAAGTAGCTGAAGAA